TTTGTTGTCACATATTTTGTTTTCCAAGTTTATCGCGTATATCTGTAGAAACTTTTGCTCTTAAAATTAAACGTTCTTTCAATTCAAAATTGGAAATCTCATTATGAAAAGCTGTTGACAGAGAGTATAGATGTGTACAAGACAACATCACAGAATACATTAGAACAATATGTAGACTAGAAAATATTCACACAAGAAGCATGGACAGCTGTAATCGCTATGAAAAAGGATGTGGAGCTCCAGAGCTAGGTGGCATAATGAGCCAGTAAATAGATGTATAAATGAATGTAAGATACCAAATCAATATGAAATATCTCATATAACCTCTTTATATATGAAAGGAAAAACAAATACCCTGCCAACCAAAGAAAATTGGCAGTTAATAGTACTCTTGGTAGACTCTTTTGCAAGAGAATAAAAAAACAAATTTGATATGGGAACAGCCACAGCCACCTTTCCTTCCAAGCCATGAAGTAGAAATTTGGCAACAACGCGTGGTAGTCCGACTTTGGTTTGTTTTGGTTTAACATTTCATATAGGAAGGCTTGTAAAGTTTGTTGAATTTATTGTTTTTTTAACTTTATTGGAATGTTTTATTTGTAAATTGTGTTTACATCAATTAGAAAATATTAATATAAGTGAAATTTCATTAAATTTAGAAATTTTAGAAGATTTTTAACGACAATTTAAAAGGCAAGTATAAATATAACCTATAAAACAAACTGAAAATAATAATACTTTTGCTTCTTGTTACAAAATATGTAAACTAAAAACAACAATAATAATATTTTTGTTTTTATGTTACAGATGCTCTGGCATTGTTGTGTACCTGGTTGCAAAACCAATTATGCCAGTACTTTAAAAACGAAACAGGCAGAAAGTACGTTTTTGTTTCCCAAGGATCCCTAAAGAAGGTATACTGGGTTATGCTCTATTCATAGAGAAGGCTGTACAATTACCAAATCTTCCGTAGTATGTGCCAAACATTTTCATGAAGATGATATTCAGCGGACTGAACAATGAGAAGATAAAGATGGAAATGTACACATTGAAAAGTTAATATTTCCCAAATTAAAAGGCAATGCAGTTCCTAATATATTTCCTGAAGTACCATCATATGTAACTGTTCATCGTACTAAAGAAAGAAGGAATCCCGAAGACAGAAGAAACTTTTTGCATAAGAAGAGGGAACAAGAGATAACATAATTATGTCAATTAGACGTAGACAATAATATCCCATTGAAAAACTGGACAAGTAAAATTACAAGTGACTGTGTATATTTCTATGTATTAAACATTAATCAGTTGGGACACAAGTGTGATAATATTTGTGTAATATGTAGTGTAATAGCAGTAATTTTAGTGTAATCGTCAATGTAGGTAAGAATAGATTAAGTGGTAATGATTTGAAATGGATTTTACAATACAGTAAATTAACAAGATGGTCACAATTAGAGAACTTACTTTCTCATTTAGATCTGCTTTTTAGATAAGTGATAACAAATTTGAGTATTACATTCAAAAATCTTTTGAGAATATAGGCTATTTTAAATCGATATACAAGTTATAAATGGTATGTTACATTCAACACATTTTTCATGTATATCTCTTTTAACTTGGTCTATATGACAACAAACCTATTCATATTTAAAATTGCTACTTTTGTATATCTAAGTATGAAAATTCAACAAAAGTTATAAGTAAATAGTAAAATATTTAATTTTTAATTAGATTAATTTAGAACCATATTTATATTGTGTCTGATTTCTTAGGATGAATTTTTTAATCATAATAGTTACACTAAGTTTTTGTGTTTTAAAATTTCTAGAGATTCTTGACTGTATTTGATTGTAAGATTAACTGTTTGACACTGTATTTTAAGTGCAATAAATTTTACTCTAGTGATTATTTTATTGATAATATAACCTAAATAATAATAAAACTTTATATATATTTACTAGGTATATATAAGGTTTTATTAATTTAATTTCCCTAAAAATAATTCTGTAATGAATTGAAGTTTTCAAAATATCAGTTTCCTAAAATTCAAATTAGTTTAATATTCTGGTAGACCTTACAGCTGATTATCGGACTACGACATCATAGAATGCAGTGTTGCCTTTTTTACTTCATGGCTTGGAAGTAAAGGTGGCTGTGGAACAGCACAAAATGTAAGTGAAGACCAAAGTGGCTTAAAATCCAGTAAGTTCTGTTCATTTATAGTCATCAGAGTAGATGGCAGTGTTCTATGTCTGCCATTTAGGGAAGAAAATATGTATAGGGATATCTTGTTGGTCTTTGTATATACCTAAAATATCCAAGAAAAACAATTCTACTTTCACTTACTTAGAGCTTCTTTTGGTGCTTCATTTAAGAAGAAACTAAGCAGGGATTGACTTACAATAGTACACTTTTCCTCTTCTTTCTTTACTGAAACTTTATAACATTGAATGGGCATGGAAGGATCTCCACTGCTAACAGCCAATAAGAAATGACCATCTGAAAAATTAACACATTGATTTAAACATTTTTCATTTAAAACAGAAGTAAATCCTTCGTTAAGATCTGATATTTGATATATTTTATGATTTGTTCAATTAAATTGCTAAATTGTAGAAAATTTATATAGATATTTTCTATATAAAGTAGTATCAAATATCACAACTTACTTTTTCCATAACAGATGTCAGCAGTCTTAATGAACATTCTTGTTGGTCCCAAACTTTCAGTTGCCATAGTCATGGGAGTTTGACATGTTGGCTGTGGTAGTAATACAGCCGCTAGCATGCCAGTAGTTGTGAGTAAAAGGGCACCAATGGCTGGTTTACTTCCAAACTGTTTCACAGAACATGCAAATTTTACATGTTGGAATTTTTCTATATAAGATGAACTGTCTTTTTTCTCAATATTGAGACATATCTGAAAAAATTGAAATTTAACAATAAATGTTGATAAATTTTTAGTCCAATACTGAAACAATTTCATCAAATAAAAATAGGACACTAAATAATGGATCAAAGTATATCTAGAATATATTATCCTTACCCTTTTACCAGAATGAAAAAAAGCAGCTGCCAAAATATGTTCCCCTTGTAATACAGTTTGTAGGACTATATTCCAATCATTTAGTATATGATCTTTTGCTGAGTATATCCTTACACATCCACTTTCATCAGCAATTAGTAAAAGTTCACCCGTAAAATCCCATTGTAAGACTGTTACAGGTGATGAATTGCTTAAAACCCTAAAAATTGTACAATTGCTATATATAACATAAAAAATACAACTTTATGCATAAATTTCTTCATATACTACTCTTGAAAACATCACACAGAATACTTCACAAATTAAATGCCAAATGGAGCTTTAATAAGTAGTTTACTTACTTATGAATTTGCCAAGGGCTATTGAGGTCAGCTACATATACATTGGAACTCCAATATAATGAATTACATTCCTCAATATTGCTTTCTGTGCTAAAAGCAATAACATTGGTGCTTGAAATTGAGCAAAGAATGGATTTTTCCAATCTAAAACAAAAAAATGGTATACAAAAAATAACACTTTATTTCTGTAAACTTACTTATTAAAAATATTTTGTTTATATGGATTTAGTGATCTACTAGGTTTCTTACTAATTGTAAAAATATGATCCATTTTTGTTACTCAAATTTATAATATATAAAGTTCTTTGTTATACTCTATTTTTTCATACTTTATTTACTAATAAAAATTTGAGGTTAAAGCAACGCCACAGCACACTTCCATCTAGCAATGCCACTCCAATGTTAAAATTAAACTGATGATTAGCGTATTGCCTAGTGCCAGGGTGCGGAACGATATATATGCATGGCGGTAAATTCAAAAGGCACGTAAACTTTGTATTAAACGTAAGGATTGTAATCATTTTAAAGTAAGCGAAAATCAATATAATCTTAATATACGAAAAAAAAACAACCCTTATTCTATATAATATGTATATATATTTTTCATATTATACTAATTGGGTTTTCTTGTTTTTCTTGTTATGTTGAGGTTATATTTATTTTCCATTACATTAAAATCAGAGTAGACAAACATATCAAAGTGGTTAAATAAAATTCAAGCATAAAATATAGAATAAACTCTTTACTTGTAACAAGAACTTGTCAGTATTTAAATAATTGTTTTGATATTCTAATGGCAAGTTTTATATGAATACAAGCCTCGCCTTCTTACGGTCCTGGTAAAAATAAAATTGGAACGAATGTTCTCTTAGTGCCCCTATGTCCAACTTTGATTACTTTCTCCTCTTTTTAAAATGATTAGCGCATACATGAAAATTATTATTATAGTTTTTGTTGCAGCATTCTCTAATTTAGTTTAAAATTGTAAAATGTTCCTTGCTTTTTTGCACTATTTATTTGACTTTTGACTTGTGAAGTGACAACCACAGCTAACTTCCACCAGGTTTAATTTTTCTGTGACGACAACGAACAACGAGCAATAACGACACTAGCAATGCCACCAAACGGAAGGGTGCACAAATAAACACGTGGGTTGACCTTGGCTATTTTTGTTACCAATCTATAGGTTGTGAAGTATGGCAACGCAACAGTTGAAAAATGTGAGTTTTGACGTTGACAATTAATTGATGCCATGTTTCTGATTATTGGTAAATTCAATGACGTATAACATAAAATATTGAATACCTTCACAATTAAATAATTTGAAAATGCAAAAATATTTTTACTTTTTTTTGTATTTGCACTTGCATTTGTACTTAATAACTGTTTAAGTTAACCAGGTTTTTTGGTACAATGTAATTTTAAATTTGAAAAATATTCTCTTTTAATACAAACATAGTATTTTGTTTCAATTCAAAAAACAATAAATAGTAATAATTCCCTACTAATAAAAAATATTTTTAGCTCATATTTTACTACAAATGTTAAATTTGGCAACGTGGTTTTGTTTAACGGTATTCATTCAAAAATTGTTGACATTTAGTTGACATTTTAACATTTTAACATTATTTTATATTACCAAATTTTAAATTCACAGTAATTGAAGAGTGCTAGTTCTTTATTTTTAACATTTATAATAGAGTTTTAATTTGACGGTTATCACTAGAAGTCCTTTTGTGTCTTTCTTCTTTTAGTATATAATAAATAAACACATTTATTTATGAGTTGGCGGTTAAGTTTGGAATTCCAGTTATACCTATATATTTTGTATACATAAGGGAAAGTGGTAAGTTAGCAGTTACATAGTTTATTTAAATATTAAATAGATTCTTTTAGGAACAATGGATGAATCAGCCTTTAAGCCGGCTGTCTTTTCAACTGTCAGCAAAAAAAAGATACCCAGAAAATTAGTAGAAAGTAATATGTTCGAGGAAGGAAATTCAATGTTTTCAGTAAATAGTACCCAACTATCCGAAAAAAGTCTTCCAGAGGTGAACCACCAGTTAGAAGAACAAAGAAGTTTAGCAAGGAAGTCTCTTCAAAGAGCAAACAAAGTCGCAGCTATACCTTCCAAATATTTTCGTGCTAACTTCAGTAAATCAGAAATGACGACTAATGTTTTTAGTGAAAGTACTGTTAGTGAGAGTGATTTACTTCAAACACCAAGGAACGCTTCTACGCCCAGAAATTCCATAGCAGATAATTTTGAACGGCTTTCTCTTAAGGTAACCGATTCCAACTTTAGCATAGATAATGTTGTTGATGATTTTATGAAGTTGGTGAAAAATAATGATGGACAAAGAAGTAGTATATTCAGACCAGCAGAGGAAGCAGCCAGCATGTTGTTAGCTGATGAGTTGTCATGGCGTAGAAAAAATGAGGTACCTTTTCAAGATGAAGAATTTTCTGAAAGAGGGTCAGTAGGGGAATTTTTCCGTAAAAAAAGTGAGACGTTATCAAACTTCTTACCATGTGCTAGTCCCGATACAACCAGAGAACCAGTTCCGTTAATTGAATCTTCTGAAGATAGCATTGTAGAACATGACTCATGTGATATGAATAAAAAGAGTTTGAGTATTTCTATGATACAGAAAATGTTAACAGATTCAAATCTAACTCCTAAAAGAGCCTGTGATAATATTTTAAAGTTAGGCGAGAAGGTAAGCTTTGTCCCAATTGCAAATAAATCATATTCTTTGCCTGGTAGTAAAAATTCATCATATACAAGTGACCATTCTGAAAATGATGCTATAAAGCACATCCATAACAAAGAAAATGTAGATTCTCTTAATGTAAAAACTCCCCCAACACAATTATTAATTTCACCATCCAGATCATCTTCTAGAGCTTCAGGAACTTCTTCACGGGCTTCAAGCTCTTTATCCTCATTGCATAATGGAAAATTACCTATTGAAACTACTAAATGTGAGTTAGTTTGGGGTTGTGTTAAAGTAGGAAAGTCGGTTACTCAGGAATTTGTGATAAGAAACAGATCTTCGAAAAGGTTGGGTGTCCAATTATCTTTAGCTAGCCAAGAATTTAAAATTCGAAAAGATAATAGAAGTGATAGTGAGCCTTGCAGTATACTTAAACTTTTGCTTCATCCTCATGAGTCTAGGGCCATTATAATATCATTTCTTCCAACAAAGAAAGGAGCTGCTGTAGATGAATTGCTTTTCACTTCTTTGGATCCACATTTAACACAGAGCAAAAAGCAGTGCATCCGTCTATTTGGTTATGGAGGTTCCTTTAAAACAGACTTTTCTAATGTAACTAGAGATACTACAGGCAAATTTTGGTTGTCCCTTGGTAAACTGGATGATCGAGCTGTGATATCATCAACTTTTAAAGTTAAAAATAAAGGAGATACACCAACTTTTATTTATATTTCAATTCAGTCTTTAGATTCTTGTAAACTTAGTGTTGCACCAAATTTCTTTGTGCTGATGCCCCAGACAAACAAGGAAATAGCTGTGCGTTATAGACCGTCAAATGAAGATTATAACTTCTTACATAAATCTGTTCATAATCAGTTGGTAGTAGATTTAGGAGTCCTAAATGTTACAGTTGGAACTGAAGTGGACAGAGGAAGAATAAGGAAAGTTTATGAAAAATGTGTTGAAACTGGTTTTCAAATAGATCCATTGACCAATATTATTAAAGAAAAAGTTGATCGTGAAGTAATGCCTGCAGACCTAATAAAATTTGGAGAATCTCCTGCTTATTTGAAGGAACTTTTAAAGTTACTAAATCGTTATCAAATTGTTTTAACTTTAGAGAGAGATCCAGAACAGACGATTTTTCAACATTTTTCAGATGATTCAGGCTTATATCAATCCCTTTATCAAGATAATACTGTAGTATGTAATAAAACTGGTGGATTAAACTTGTGCCATGTTGCTCCAGCTATTATTTTATTAACACTTCCATACAAATACAAAGATAGTATATTTATAAAGTCTATCTACGATCAGAAATTGAATTTTAAAGTAAGTGCTCAAGACGAATTGGAAGTGAAACCTAAAGATGGAACTATCGAACCTCACAGTACCACTATTTTATCTGTAAAATACCAACCAATATCACCAATAGAGAAAAAAAGTTTGCAAATTTTGATTGAAATTGAAAATGAAGTGTTTGAAGTTGTTGTTAAGGTGGACTGTTTAGGGCAAGTCAAGCAAAAAAATAAATCCATTCTTAAATGTGTCTAGACTGAAGAGTACTTTAAAGTGTTTTATTGGTTCCTAATATATATTTTAATTCATAACGAATACTTCTAAAAGTGATTTTGTAAATATAAACACTAAAACATGAATATTTTGCCACTGTAAAATGCTAAGCTCATTTTCTAAACAGGTTTGTTAACAGGATAGTTTAGATGACACTTTTATAATTATTTAGTTTTGTCATTCTGATTTTTTGTATGTATATTTTTTTTTCTATCTAAGATAATTTTGTTAAATTTTATATTCCAAATTAGTAAGATTGTTAGAAAACTGTATGTTTTTGTTGTTGTTTACAGCTCTTATATTGTTTGTATGTCTTTTCTGTTTGATACGAAAAAAGAATAATTCTTTATCTTATACTTGGTAGTCTTCCTGCTTTTTGTTGGACATACCCCATTACCTCACATCTATTATTGTCCTATATCTTTATTTTTTTATATCTTAAACTTAAGTAGGTACTTAATAGAATAATATCAAGTTTTGTTAGATTTTTTAAGGCATTTTGGCAAAAAATATTAAAACTAATTTTGTCTAATTGTAGATAATATTGTTATACTTTACCATGATTTTAAATATATTCTAAAGTAAATTAGTCAAACATGTATATATAAAATGTAAACATTCCATTGTGTAAAAAATACTTTCAATATTTTATTTTTTTAAGAGTAGATTTTTATATTTTTATAACTACATTAAATACAATAAAAAATGTTTCATTGTTTTATTTTTTATATAATTCCCTTTATCTTTGTTTCCGTTCAGGCTTAGTTCCCCTAATTGCTCTTGATATTGAAAGATCATGTTGGGCATTAAATTTTTCCCCATGCTCTTTCATTTTGTAGCATTTTTTTTTTCATGAAGTAGATCACAAAAATCGATAGGGTTTGTATCATTTTGCGTTTTAAAATAGTGGTCTAAATCACGAGAATTTGTTTGTATGTGTGAAAGATATAGCATGAAACAAGTCCATCAGCTACAGAATGCTTTATTTATATTTAAAGATATTGATCTTTTAGATATATGTATAAGTTACTGAAGTTATACTAATTTATATTTCCAACTATACATTTTTAATAAAATTCATTAGCAATTCCCTAGGTTTCTCTGTGAGCAGTTGACATAATAGTGTGAATTCATTTATTAGATTTTTCTAAATATTTATTGCAGTCAACAGTCAGTCAAGGAAAATATGGTTAAGATCTCTGTAAGAACTTTGATATCTCACAACTGCAGGATGGTGTCAGTAATATGCAAAGCTTAAATAAATTCGACATACATCATTCCTTTTTGGGCGAAATAAACTTGCAAAGAAGAATTTGGTAGTCCAGTAATTGAATATTTATTGGGGTGGGAATGGTAAAGTGGAGTGTATCTGGAAATGCATATTTTGCTAGTATTGAGTGAAATATATCCCTTACTGTATAAATATTGCAAAATACTCCACTTTGTACTCCTTCCTTAGCTAGAGTATCACCTTTTTCATTCGCTGGTATACTTATGGCCTCTCACCCAAATAAATGTTATATTTAAATATGTAATAATGATTTTAAACAACATAACATAGGACACTTCATTCCTTCAAATGCGCATATTTCCGTACATTTCTCCTTCAGCCATGTTTCTTTTGGTCCTTTTACTCCCTTTAGTATAGTCTTATACAAATTTTGTATTCGTTTTCATTTCTACCTACATTTTCTTCACTCTTCCATCATCTGCAATATTTGACCTGTCATCCATTCTTGCTTCCTTTCTCCTTTTGATTTTAGATATTCATGCGAAATTGTGGTAATATATGTCTTCATTTCGTTCCACTGTTCTTCTATGTCTCTAGTAGTGTCTTCAACTATTTTCGCAAAATTCTTATTATATATGTTTTTACTTTTTTTGGATGTCACTTTCTCTTACTAGTCTTATATCTGTCTTAAGATGTTTTTACTTTTTTTTGGATGTCATTTTCTTTTACTAGTCTTATATCTGTCTTAAGATAATAGGCCGCATTAAGTCCTATACATTTTGTGTTGTGAGCCAATACTTCTATAACTATGGTCTGTTTTTTAACCAGGAGGAGTAATTCAAATTTTCCGCGCCGTAATTCTTGTTTGTAATTGGTCCAACCGCAGGCAAGTTTACTCCACTAAATTATGACATATTGACACTAATGACATTTGTGAAATTTTAAAATTCAAAATTTATATCGACGATTTTTTGTATTTTCTGCGTTATTCCTTACATTCATAGATTTTTCGTTTGCATTTATATAAAGAACAGTTCTCTTCAGAACTATTTAGTGTTATTAAGATAATAATATGGATTCAATGCCAAGTACTAGTGGTAATTATTCTTCTCCACCTTAAAAACGCCGAGTAGATTTGGGTCATTTATCAACAAATAAGAAACAATGTTTTATAAACATGTATAAAAAAATGAAAATTTATAATTCTGGATTGAAAATAACAGCCACGATAGCAAAAGTAAAACAGGCAGCAGGTTAGTTTTGCAGAATAGTTATTATTAAAATCAAAACTTACTAAAATAATGTGCTAATTTTAGGTGTTGCGAATTCAACTAATAACCAAACAATTAAAGAATATAAGCAGACTGGTGATATGCGAATATTATTTAATGTGATATTTTTCTAGATGATATTTGTACTAAATATTGTTTAAAGTATTGTTAAGAAGCATTTTCATTTGTTTTCATCACAATAAAAGAACATTAGTAAAGTAATGTTGTGTTTTAGTTTGATTGCATTGATGCAGTTGGTTTTGTTCTTCCTGGTTGTAGATAATCACAAGAAAACTGCACAATTATGCTTGAATGTAACATAATATATTGAATTTGTTAATTTTAGTCAATTTTATTTATTGATAACAAATGTTACAAACTCAAGAATCCAGCATTAAAAAAATTGGAAGTACACACTTCTTTATACAAAGTATCTTTTTGCATTATAGTGTTTCAAATAGAACCTAAAGATATTGATACATAAGTTAAACAAATCTATCTAATGAGGTAACTGATTACCAAAATACCACACCTATATTTGAACCATAATTTATTCTGTGATGGAAAATATGAAAAAGTGAATTTTAAAGCAGTGAACGGGAAGGAGTATGTAAAACAAATTGCCTGAAGCAATTCAGGAGATTGGATTATTAAGCTTAAAAATAATGATCAAAGTCAAAGTTAACTCTTCTGGTAAGAAAAAAAACCTATATTCAAGAAATTAATCACATCAGAATAAAAATGTGGTCTACGCAGTTTAAAAGAACAGTATTTCAGAAATCTTTGAACTTTCTCTAACTTTTTGATACATGCATTTGCATAGCTTTATTGCATACTTATTAGATCTATTTGCAAATTAAAAGACAAATTTATGTGAAAAACCAAACTTAGATGAATGTGAAAAATGTGATAAACGTCCTTTTTTTTATTGTAATAATTGTAATATCTATTGGAAGTGAATTAAAAAAAATTATAATTCAAACATAAATTAACAAAGTTAGGTTAGAATTGACGTGGAAGGTTGTCCGATATTGATTACTCGATTACCACAAGGCCGAGATAATCAACAAAAAAGAAGATGTATTTGGTGACTTTTCTAGTAACTTTCTTGGTTGTGAATCTGTCTTTTTGGTTTACTCCTCCTGGTTAAAAAACAGAGTATAGTTACTTTGTTAAATTGTATTGTAACCTCAGACGATATTAGAAGTCGATTATAGGAAGAGATCTGAAAATATTGAAAATAAAAACAACAAATTGTATTAAAAATCGATTTATTTTACACACCTATCTCGTTTAGTACACAAAAAATGATGAAACTTATAATACAGATTAGTATATCGATACGCAATACAAATCCAAATGTTGCCATAGCAATTTGGTAACAAATATAGTAACACTGCACTTATACAACCCTAACCAAAATTTACAATATTTAACAACATTCATTGTTATTTACATTGTTTTAAAATAGGGCTTTCAATTAAAATCTAATATAGCACCATATTATTCATGTGTTTATTTCCAGGAAATAAATGAAGTATTAATATTATTATTATATTACAAGTCAATTAAATAATATATGCTATTTAAAGATATAAGTAAGAAAAATGATAGACATGTATTTCAACAAATCCATTATAGAAATATATGAGTCCCGATATTTATTATTGAATGTTTCCTCAATTTGCTTTGTAATCCCTTTGCTTTGTAATTCTCCTTCTATATCAATGGAATATTATTTTCCAAAGTTTTCTGTTTTTTTCTTCTTTACTTTACTTTACTTTATTTTGTTAGAGAACTGTAAGATACCTGTCATAACATGCAAGATAATTTAATAATTAAATCGTCTTACATTTAATTTTTACGTAATTACTAATGTGTTTAAATAAGTCATAAATAATTAAAATATTATTTTGGTACGCCTCTGCAAAGTTGATAAGAGAAATATCGGTTGCTCGCTTTAAGTGCGATGTTGCCAATTAATCACCTTCAGTTGAAAATTGTTACCTATAATATAGTAATTTTTGACATCTTATGAGAATTTTTAGTGGAGGAAAGTCCAGTTTGGAAACTGGAGTTGTCAGTGGTAAGATAGAGACTAATATGATATCATAGTATAGAAATTAATCAATATAAACGAAGAAATCTCGACAGTATCTAGACAGAATAACAAATTTGAAAACATTTAGACTAAAAAAAAGTGCGTTAACACCACCAGAGGGATCCCTTAACACAAAGTGTAAAATATGGACAGGAAAATGAAAAAGAAAACTTTTTAATGTTATGTTTACATTTCTCACATATTTTCGAAAATTATTTGATCTAGTGCAAATGTATTTGCCATGACGTCACATTATAATTTTTTTTATTAAAATACATGTCTTCTATAAAAATGTATTAACAATTTGAGCGTTGAGTAGTGATATGATAAAAGTAACCTAAAATCTAAATCTACAAAATTCAAATTCCCTTTCACTAGGTTGTGGCGTAATGAAAAAGAAATCAAATTTTTACTTACAAACACTAGACGTAAGGCACACAGTTATATAGCGTAAATAAAGCAATAGCAATGGCTCCAACATCAGTAAAATTTCGGTAATAAACATAAAGAAGTCTTAAATTCTTCCGCAGCACGAAACTGTAAGGTTAAATAAAATATGTATGGCAATGGTGATTACAATTTTCTCCAAACTTATTAAATTCGGCAAAACTGTTTTAAAGGTAAATATTATATTAAGTATTGTTTAAATCAATAAACTAACCCACAATTAACATACAATAATTTAGGTGATAGCTTCTCAGTTACACATGGGTTGCTACATTGTTACAAATTGGCGCCCAACGTGGGGAACCAATGTGTGAAAATGTAACCAACTATTTTAAGATGGAAAATAATAAAACAATACCAAAGGTTAACAAAGGAATAAAATCAAAATATTATTCGTTACTGTCGTTATTGACTATCTACATTACAAGTTTTCTACTGGTTTATTCTGTGATTTATTTCCATTAAATATAGTAGACAACATAGACATAACGATTTTAAAACCATAGACAAATTAATTTTAAAATAAACATCATTTATTCAATCTAAGAGATTTAGTAGAAGCTTTAGATCGCATGAGGTATATGTTTACTGAATTTTTGGGTTGTAAAAAGCTGTGTGCAAAAAGTGTCGTATTTACTAACAATAGAACAAATAAAAATTCAAATGTAATTTTCTTAGCAACATTTGGGGCATTTCAGGAAGGATAAAAATAGTTGAGTTATGATGATAACGTATATTAGCATAATCCTAAATCAAAATAATAAGGTACTGAATCGTTTAAACCCAGTAGTTTGGATTCGAAGTGAGTTAGAATCCGAAAATCAGTCCAGAGAGTATTTTTTTATACAAAATGAGTTTTGCTCCAAACTGATATATCAATTTAGTCAGATCGTTGTTGTAATCTTTAGGACCAGCTGGTAGGAGACAAAATTGTAGGAAAGACTTGCTTTACAAAAATCAAGACAATGCATATCATCCCACAGAGCTCAAAAAAAACATCGCTAAAATCAGTAAATTAAAGTACGAATTGTTGCAACATCCATTCTGTTGGCAATATTTAGGTCACTCTGATTCTGACTAATCTCAGATTGCATAAGATTTTTATCTAAAAAAGAGTAAAAGCTGCTGTAGAAGCGTATTTTGACAGTCTTTTGGATTTTGAATGTAGAAAAGGAATCCATAAATTAGAAGAGCAATGGAATAACTGTATGGAAATTCAGGCAGAATATTATTGACTAGAAAAATATAATTCAATAAAATCACAAAATGGTTTTGTTGCTATAGAACAATATAAATTACTGAATAAACTATTATTTAAAAAAAGGAATTGCTCCAGGGAAACAATTTTAGATCATTAAAATGTTATGAGTTCTACTAAAATTATCGACTATTAAGTTTATATTGACAAGTCGTGGACTAGTTATACACTTTTGCACAATCTAAACATTTTTTAATGCACATTCCATGATTTCAATGAATAATTTATCAGATTTATTCAGATACAAGTGGCAATAACATAATAAGACTTTGAGTCTTTGAAACTTTCATTTTCACCATAACATACAGTACTAATACTGACGATTGCTTATAATTGGTACGTTTTTGCATCTTCTTTACTTTTCCTCGTCAATAAATCATATTAGTTATTTTTAACCTCAAGAGTTTATTCATTTAACGAAAAGAATCACAAAACTTCTTCAATATGTTCGGTGACCAAAAATTACTTTTGTTAAACATAATAAGGAACTTGATTAGTAACGGTAGTACCGGAGCCAGTCTGCATTTTGATTCATGGTTCATCTCGGACACAATTTAACCAGTAAATGTGAGAGAACATATTAAAACATCTTTTGAATGGCACTATTCTCAGTGGCGTATCTGAAAGAGAATATTTGTCTGTACAGACTATGAAAGTTCTCATTTATATAAGTAAATTATGTCCCAACAAACCGACAATACACATATCCATAATTTTTAGTTAATTTCACTATCGAAAAGTTAGTTATTTAACTAATGGACAATATTGGAAAAAGTACATTATTTGATATACGTTATGAACCAAATTTGCTGTCACGAATGACAGGTCTAGTTTGATATTATTATTCTATAAATATATAATGCAATGACCAAAGAAAAATTGAATTTTAGAAACGGTGGATGGAATATATTTAAAAACAGCAGTCACCAGTGACTACTAGTGTTTTGTTAGATTGCTTGTTACTTTGCATTTACAGTACGGCAAGAAAATATTGGGAATTTCCCTATCATATTGATGTACCAAGTGAAAAAAACGTTTAGTTGAACAGTTCGTACACGAAAAGTGACGGAATTTGTAAGAATAACGAAGAAACTTGAGATTTATAGCATGTTAAACGTAGAAATGATAGTGTTAGGGAAAAAAGATCGTTTATAGAAGACCATGCAAAATATGAGGTCGTAATGTGACAGACACAATACAGTTGAGTTACAGAAATTACTACCTACTGGTAACTAAGTTTGTTAGCTTAGCTCCATGAGCTAAACATGGGCGGTTCATTAACATCTATTTCATGCATTACGTGGCAACATAGCAATGCACATACGTGGAACGACCTGTGATAATGATGGTCGAGAGCCGATCAGTCCAAATCGGCGGAATAGATTTCTACCGCAAGGAAAATACAAATTTTACAGTATTTGAATATTACTTTATAAAAAAAATTAGCGGTCACTGGTGATCGACTTTATTTATATTTTTTAAAGTTAATATTTATTTGTGACTCATTATTTGCAAGCTCTTAGTGACTTAATATTATAATGAATGAAAAACTCTTTTCCAAAATATTTGTAATCGTATAAAGTAAAATTCTTGATTTAGATCAGTATTAGACTTCGATACGCCACTGAATCCTAAGTACTTAAAATACACAAAACTCATACAGAATCACAGTTTATGTGCGCTGCTCATCTTATTTTTCTTAGACATCTTAAACCATCCAGCCGATTTTTCAGGGTCTCTGGGCATGGAAACTGACCTAGAAATATCCCTGTTTCTTCTCTCTTGACCTCCTAGCGATTCAACGGAAAGACTCTTGGAAGCCATCTTCTTTTCATCTTTTTCTCGAGTGTATCTAGAATTTTCATTAGGATACCGGTCTTTTTTCTTGTATAAAGTCGAGTTAGACCTTTGGAAAGATTTTCTTTAGATCTTCTTAGTGTCTGTGAAGATAAATTTTCTTTTGATTTCGACAGTTTTAATAAAGTCGAACCGTTCGAACCATGAGATCCATTTGAACTAGTATAGTTCTTTCGAGACTCTTGGGCTTTCTTTTTAAGTGTTGATGAACTGTCTTTTCGAGGGGTAGGTGTTTTTGAGATTTTTTGTTCATATTTTCCATTTTTACCATTTTTCGGGTATTGGCTGTAGTCGATATCCACATCTCTAGGGTTTCGTGGTTTCCAAGGGGCTAGAACTGAAAATGATCGGCTTAGAGTTTTAACCTGTTGAACTTTTGGTCCATTAGAGGCCAATTCTTCTCTTGAAGCGGCCCTCCGTCCATTTTTTAAATATCCAGGTCCTGGAATATCACCAACTGAAAAAAAAAACAGATATGTTATATTTGCTGTATGTATGTATAATGTAAAACAAAAGTGAAACCAATAGAAGAGATGGGATTACTGACTCAAATTCTTTAACACAAAGGAAGGGAGAACCAGTAAATACTAACTCAGACTCGTCAGCTTCAACACTCAGGGAGATAAAACCCATTGATTGGAAGAATCCCCAAACTACCGAGACGAGAGATATGCTTAAGAAACAGGAGAAGAGCAGGAACGTTTGAGATCCCGCTCTGAGTTACAGACTCCTAAAAGTGACAAGAGAAGCCAAGAATAAAATCATCTCGAAAGGGTAGCAGCGGCGAAGGTAACAGACACAACGCCATTCCAATTATACATTAAGCCAAGAACAGGCAGACTTGGTACAAAGCAAACTGCTGGAAGTACTTTATGATGTCCCATCAGGTAGGGCGTTCCTTAATTTGAAAGATCCTCATTTAATGCAGAAGTGCTATCATTGACCCGCGCAAATTAGGTCAGTAAGAACTAGCTTAGGAAGACGATTAAAGTGCTGGGCACTCTCTGGGAGGGGGCGAGTTTGACAGTGGTTGAAGTCAAAAACCTCCCGGCGACAACCAGGGTTCTAGATACAAGATACAAAGCTAGTCTCTGTTAAGCAGGAAAATAGAGAAGGGAGGGGTATACTCCTGGACTTTTCTTTAGATGTAGCATCCTGCAGAAATCTGAAGGAGAAGAACTACAAAATTTACTATGAACTTACTATGGATAACCTTTAGAAATCTGCAAGCCAAGAAGGATAGGCCTGAGGGTAGTTCAGATTAACCTTCAATACTGCAAGGCAGCATCAGCGGTCCTGCTAGCGCATGAGAGAACGTTTGATATTGCGCTTGTAAAAGAGCCTTGGGTAAACCAAAGGGAGGTCAAAGGTTTTATTTGTACCATGACAACTTTTCATTGAAACTTACCAAATATTGGCAAATATTTTAGCTCAATAAATAAAAAATAATAAAACTGAGCAAAAGATATCAACGTGATAACTTTTTAAGTTTATACGTTTACATTAAATTCTCTGGAGGGCCAAGAAGCATAAAATTTGCCAACAGTAACTTATCCTGCAAGGAAAGTTGGATGGTCAAAAATGTCCAAGAAGAAAAAAAGTTCCTATATGAAAATCGAATCACTGGATCTTTTCCTTAAGATATTAAATAGTCATAATTACAAAGACAAAGAAAATAAAGTGGAGGGAAACTTAAAAATCAATGGGTTTTAACTAAAAGAAAGAAAGATGAACTACTAAAATGGTATTAAAAAATATCTAAAATTTCCCAAAAATGACAATATAGTATTACGTAAGAATTGGGAAGACAAAGACAATTGCTGTAGTGAAGCAATGTAGTAAAATAGTGATAGTAGAATGAAAAAAGTGAAGCTTTTCCAGTTCCATATGTGGCAATCTCTAAATATAGAAACTTAATGAGCTAAAACACGAAAAACAAGTTCTAAAGTGCAAGAGTTACACCAACACGAGTAAGGTCGTGAAGGGATAGTATGAATGAGCCCATAGCGAAGAAAATTTTTGATTTAATTGAAAAATTACTCGGCAAGAAAAGAATTTATAACAATTGAAACAACTAACAAAAATAAAAAGGCCCAAAAAATTTAAAAAATTGTATAAAGATCAAAGATAACAAATGCTTAAAATAACATTAAGGAGATTTTAACAAAACAAGTTGCGTATTCTTTTTATTTTAAATGTAATTTATTTATGTACTAAACGTTATTCGTACCTGTAGCAGCATGCAAATAGACGATACTTCTTTGCGACTGTTGGCTGCTGTCGCCTTCCGTGGAACTTTCCACCGAGCTAACTTCATTCTTTCTCCTCCTGCTTCTCTCTTTGTCATGCCGTGAAGTTTCTCTAGATGGAGCTCGATGGTTCGGCGACATAGGTGGCTTCAAACTTCTTCTGGATTCTTTCGTCTCTTTTTCGGACTCAGAGACATTAGTCATAGACTTGTAGTTATTTCTAGGCGACTTGAATTCCTCTGAAATGTTGTGAAGCTCCCGTGTGGACTGACTTCTGGCTCTGGATGGTATTCCTGAACGAGTTTTGGTAGAAGTTTTGTGACGTATACTATCGTTCGATTCTTGGTCGGTGTCTCCGAAAAATCGGAGATTTTTCGTGGGTTTTGTGGGAGTGTCTTCTTCGGTTCCGCTGGTAAAGTTGGCATCCTTTTCACCCTGTAGAGTGGTGAATGTGATTTTAGAGATTAGGCAAAACTTGAGACATTATTAAACATGTAATACAACTTATTGATATAATCGGTGTATGATAAAACACTTATCGGTTATGTTATAAATCTGTTATTTATGTGTCATTCATTTGGAAATTCAACACCATAACAATTATTATATCTATACATATATAAGGAGATAACATGCAAAGAGTCTTAAGTCACACAAAAATCAAAATTGAGTTAGATGTGCCAATGCATTGTTCTGTTGCAGCTAAATTGGTTTATTCTATCTGATTGATGCACACAAAATTATTTCCAATGGTAACAGCATATTAAAAACCACCTTTACATGCAAAACAACTTACTTCCACTGTCTAAGCTTATTTCCAACCAACGTATTGAAAAATAGTATATTATCGTAAAATAGTTTCGAAACACAATTCAGATTTCTGCTTTTATAATCTGAGCCTTCTAAGAATTGCAAGGCAAACAGACGTTGATAAAAGATGTTAAAAGAGACATGGGGAATCTAAAATTTGCATTCCACGACATGTCTTTTACAACTAAGCAGAAATCCTTAGCGAATTGTGTTTCTAGTACTCCCACAGAGTAAATCCGAATAAAATGAGAAAAGGCAGCAAATATTTGATTTCACGCAAACAAATCCTATATATCTCTTGATACGTATTTCAACCTAATAGGTCTCGTCAGAAGAGCTATTCATAGGGGTTCTCAACGTGAAAAATCAATATTTTCTGCCTTTTAAGAAGCAACAATAACATGGCTTCAATACGGACGCAGTAGCGACATCTAATTAAACAATCGTAAAATAGTTTCGAAATACGTATCAAGAGATACATAGGATTTGTTTGCGTGAAATCAAATATTTGCTGCCTTTTCTCATTTTATTCGGATTTACTCTGTGGGAGTACTAGAAACACAATTCGCTAAGGATTTCTGCTTAGTTGTAAAAGACATGTCGTGGAATGCAAATTTTAGATTCCCCATGTCTCTTTTAACATCTTTTATCAACGTCTGTTTGCCTTGCAATTCTTAGAAGGCTCAGATTATAAAGCAGAAATCTGAATTGTGTTTCGAAACTATTTTACGATTGTTTAATTAGATGTCGCTACTGCGTCCGTATTGAAGCCATGTTATTGTTGCTTCTTAAAAGGCAGAAAATATTGATTTTTCACGTTGAGAACCCCTATGAATAGATCTTCTGACGAGACCTATTAGGTCGAAATACGTTCAAGAGATACATAGGATTTGTTTGCGTGAAATCAAATATTTGCTGCCTTTTCTCATTTTAATAGTATATTACTTTATGAGGCGGAGAAGCATGCTTATTACGCTCCCGATATACGCCCGATATTACGCGCCGAACGAAGTGAGGCGCGTAATAAAGGGCAAGTCAAGAAAAGTCGCTTCTTTGCCGAATAAAGTATACTATTTTTTCTTCAAACGTAGAAATTTTCAACCATAAATAGTACAATTCATAAGCTATTTTTACTCTAAATTAACTGTGAGAACTATCAAAGTCGTTTAGATGTTAGAAATTAAAATAATTAAGTCGTCGGTGAGATTTGCGTCTCCCTGGTTACAGTTGTTTGACAGTTGTTTGCAATTATTAAAGACAGCTTATTGTTGTTGCAACCGCAAGCGCAAATTTAGTGCGAAAATGGAAAACCTAAAGGAAATTGAGTTCGCGGCTAATGATGCAGTAGCACGTTTGGGGCCCTCCAAGTCCGGAATAAAGTATCGGTTAGCGTACAAGCACTTCCAAGAGTGGTGCGATACAAGAGGAGTACGGCAAGTTACCGAAGACGTTTTACTGGCATATTTTAATGTAATGGAAAATGAAAATAAATGATAAAATCTCTATGATAAAATCCGACTTAGTTATTAGAAAAAATGAATATTTCTGAAAAAAAAAACAAGCGAAGGATATACTGCAAAGAAGTCTAAAGTTTTCACTAAAGATGAGTTTGATAAATTTTTGTTTGAAGCGCCAGATAAGTTGTATTTAGGATTAAAGGTAAAAAAAATTATATTGTAAAACATGTAGTATACTCTACTAAATTATAAAAATATTTCAGATTGTTTTGCTAATTGGTGTTACCGGCGCCTGTCGATGCGACGAAATGGTAAAAATGAAGACTGTGGACATTGAGGATAAAGAAAATGTAATAATTATCAAAATCCCAGACAGTAAAATACGACAAATTAGATCTTTTACGATAACTGGTCAAAACTACATTAAACTGTATAAAAAGTATGCATCACTGCGGCCTGAAAATGTCACAGAAAACCGATTTTTATCAAGTACCAAAACCGAAGCGTCATGGGAATTCATTCGATCAGCGCAGTAGCCCAAAAAGTAGCTAGTTATCTAAATTTAAACGATGCAAGCGCATACACGGGTCACTCTTTACGACGAACTTCAGCAACACTTTTAATTGATGGAGGCGGACATCTAGAATACCTCAAACGACATGGGGGCTGGAAATCAGCGACTCTCCTATATATCCTTCGACTATATATCCTTTGACGGTTGCCGAAGGATATATAGAGGATTCAATAAGAAATAAGAACGATAATGCTCAAAAAATTTTAAACTCTCATGATTCGCCAACATCGGGAATGATTGATGAAAGTTGTTCTCGACCATCAGTATCATCAACAATTACCAATGCGTATCAAGCTCAAGAGTTGGGAACATTTTTGCACGGTTTCAATTTTGAAAATGCCTCATTAACCAATGGTACTTTTAATATTACTATAAATAAAAATGATGTTTAATTGTTGGTAACGACAATTGTATTGTTGCTTTGTGACATGTTTCATATTGTTGCCATGACAACATTTTTCCCTGTGCCGTAAAGAAATGGGAAAAAAACTGCTGCCCGCGGAGACATCAAACTTTGACAGGATCAAGTTAGATAAGTACTGTCATCATTATTTGACGTTTGAAAAAAAAATTTATTTATTAAACTCTTGTCAAGTGAAGAGTGAAACTCTTGTTACATATTGCTCAATAAATTTATTACCTTTTTCGATTTTTTTCGTGACAATCGATCCAAGGATTTAAACCAACTTCCGTGTGTTGATTCGGATTTGACATTTCTTTGTTGTTCGCGTGTCGGACTCGGACTTGGTGATGACAAACGTCGTCTGTCGTAGGTCTGGAAAAGATAAAAAATCTTATTAATATTCTCTTATTAATAAATATTAAATAAAAATTTCCATTTTTAGAGATCGATCTTTGAAACATGACATGCAATTTTGCAAAAAGACGGTTTTGGGTGTCGTTTATAACAAAACTTTGGTTGTGTTGAAAAACATACTAGTGTAATTCGAATCTTTAACATTTTCTCGCAATTTTCAATTTTGGTTTTATTACAATCCATTTTTGCCTTTTTTAATTATACCCTTCGGCAATTTTTTTGTTCTTCGTAGATATATATAAAATAAAACCTAATGTATTTATTTTTATTTAAAGATGTTAATGACCTCCCCGAGTATCATTTGCTTGTCTCAGTCAGAATTGTAATCATTCTAATAATTATACCTTCCAATAATTACGTAATACCAATTTTAATTGGTAGTTTACAATAAATGTTTTTGCTACTAGTATTATTATTAATATTTAATGATTTATTTCCTATTTTAAGTTCTTCGTCTTTTTTGAATTATATTAATGATTTAGTTTTAATTATATATTTAATTTGTTTGTTTAATGAATAATCTTCATGGATTATTTAACATTTAGTTTCCGTTCAATTATGACTATAATAGAAGAGATATTTACTACGTTTCTTATTATTATTATTTGATTTGATATTTATTAAACAATTTTATTTTGCAGGATTCTAAAGAAGGAATATACATAGGACATACTGTTCCCGGTTGTGACGGTTAAATTAGTAATAATTTTAATTCTTTTAAGTGTGTATGTAATATAAGTATTATATTGTTACGATAAATAATGACTCATAAAACTGTAAACATATTATTTCTAATTCTATTCCATTCAAGTATTTTCCATAGTAGTTTCAACCATGTTCTACCATCCATCAATTAATAGAGTACCGGCATGTAAGTAATGTTTATTTATTTGCTCATTTATTAATTTATTACAATCTAATAGACTAGTTTATAACAATTTGTGGGCCTTACCTTGTCTGTTTAAACTTTTAAATCTTTTTATACCTTTTTATTCAACTTACTCTTTTTGAAATAAAACCACAGACATGTAATATTGGCATAATTATTGTAATTTCCAACATCTACTTTGTTTATCTTTATTAGACAACACCGTAATATGGGTTTTTATCATTTCAGCATTTATTTAACTTTGTATCGAGACCTGAAGATGCTTTGCATATTGTAGAAAGCGAAACCGGTCGTCTGATAGTTAAATTAAATAGATTGTGAGTAAGTCTTATTTATTATTTCTTTACCTATTTTAAATTGGGTATCTTTAAGATCTTCTTCGTCATCATCATCATCATCAACTAGCCTCTAACGTCCACTGCTGAACATAGGCCTCTCGCATGCTTTTCCACTTAGTCCGATTTTGCGCCATCTGAATCCAATTTGTAGTCACTCTTTTTATGTCATCTGTCCATCTCGTTGGGGGTCGACCTCCATTTCTGTAAGCTTGTATTCGGGGTCTCCATTCCAAAATTCTTTTTGTCCACCGGTCATCAACTGATCTTGCTACATGACCTGCCCAGTTCCACTTTAGTGTTGTTATCCTTTCAATAACGTCTGCAGAGGGAATTCGTTTTTTAAATATATTACTCATTTCTTTATAAGAGATATATGAGTACGATTACAAACAATAGTTTTTTTTGGGTAAAACATAGCAAACAAAATGATAGGGTCTTTAAACATAATTAATGTGGGTAAGTTCTAGCAGAAAATTAAGAAACGCCATAAATTACCACCAGCTCACTGGCTTGCATGAATTAGAATCGCAATTATTTTGTAAACAAGTTGTTTTTTGACCTTGAAGTACTGACACCGGTCGTAATCCTCGGCTACTTACACATGTTTTATAATGTAATTAAACTGATTTATGGAGACACCTAACCATTGCCGAATTTCAGGAGTTATGCTCGTTTATCAGTAAGATAATATATTATAAATGTATCTTATTGTAGAAGAAATGCGAAGACATTCCGAAGATTGTTATTATACTAGAGTTGTTATATTGTTAACAATATAATAAATTTAAATTCTGATTTCTGGCTTTCTGTATTTAAGATTAACTACAGACGCGCAAACAACGTGATGCTAGCAGAGATAACACGTGTGGTAATAATGATTTCAACTTTTAAACATAATTGATGAATAATGAGAAAAATTCAAAATATTTGTAATTTTAATATATTACAAATAATATTATATTATCTTGTCCTAAATGTGGCGTGGATACACGTGTTAACATGTTTATACTAAAACAATGTATACTTACTGCAAATTATTTAGAATACACGCTTTATATTTCTTTATATACACCATTTGACATAATAACAAAAAGCAGTAAAGGCCAAACTTTTGCAATACGATCCAACATCGAAGCAATGGTGAAGCTATGAAACCCTCAAAGCTATATGATCATCTAAGAAGGTGACACCCTAATACAGTAAGTAAAGACATGTTGTAGCATAAAAATATAAAAGCAAATAATTATAGTGGACAATAGTCTTTCAATAATTTTTGATAGTGCTGGTAACAAGGCAATAGGTCTATAGTTGCAGGCATCAGATTTTTCTCCACCTTTACGAAGAGGAATGACGATGGCAGTCTTTAGGCAGTTAGGGAATGTACCTTTTTCAAGGGAATCATTTACTAGCGAGACCATGACCTCCAAAACATTATGCGGTAGATTTGAGAAAATTTTAATAGATAATCCATCTGTACTACAGGACGATGTGCTTTTTATACTACGAATTGTTGAAATGAGTTCCGTCTTATCAACTGGTCTTAAAAAGAAGGTATCAGCAATGTTTTTTGAATTAGAGAGATAGGAAACTGGATCTTGTTGTGGCGAAATAGTTGAGGTTATATTTTTACTCACATTAACAAAGTAATCATTTAGATTTTCGGGGTTAGGAAAAGAAAAGGTTTGATTTGCTGTACTGGTTTTATTTCGAAAATCGTTTATTATTGACCAAGTTTCTTTTGAAATATTTTTGGAGCTTGTTAAACGATTATGAAAGTAGGATTTTTTGGCTACTTTGAGTAGTTTTATGTAGCATTTTCTGTACTTATTGATATAATCAGAGATGGGGATACTGTTATTAAATTTTTTAATATATAGCAGAGATATAATGAAAATCCAATCTTGCTGTCATTCTTATTAACACCATCCATCCGCCTCAATCTGCTCGTCTAGTTTCTTCGTGTTTCGCCAATTGTAACGTAACTAAAATCTCATAAAAACTATACTTAAACAGTGAATAATTAAGGGTTTAGATGCTCACTGTATATTATGGCCATCATAATATATCTTGGCCATCATACAGGGCGTTATCTCGAAATCAATTTAAAAAATCATCCTTTTGAATCTTTATGCTAATTTATTTCTTTTAAACAAAGAAACCAATATACCTATACTTAATAGAAATGGATACACCGTTCGGAATCAGTGATATATTGAATTTGCAGTTTTGAAGATCGCAGTCCAATCTAAATAACATACATAAATATAATCGTCGGACGTACATATGTGTGAATTTAATCTCAAGAATTGGATGCAAGGCCCTTGAAGGTCGTTTAGCCGCGTCTTCGTTCGATGTTGTCGCAGTCCTCCATAACAGATCCGGACTTAAGTCTCTATTTTTTTAATTTAAAGTTAAGATTTATAGAATTGGAAGTGTTAGAACTTATTTCATTCTACACTGCCATTTTTAGCTACGGGTATTTATTTTTGGACTATTTGAAGAAATTTGAATTTATCATGCTCCGCCGTGTTTTTTGAGTTTCTGAGAAATTCGTTATAAATAACGAATTTCTATGAATCTTAGACTTGCTTATTATTGTTCTAATGCTTTAATTGGTTGTCTTCTTATTTCGAGGTTGAAACTCTTTATATTCTTCAGGAGTATCCCGAAATTATGTATTATGAAATTCATTATGAAAATATCGGATCTGCGATATCTTCTAAGTAGTTCTAGGCTTCTAATCTACCTAAAGAGTTTATTGAAACGTCCGATGAGCCAAAATAAAAATTCACGTAAAACTTGAAACTCTGTACTTGCACTTGTCGTGTAGATCTGTGATTTGTGTTCCGTGACTGTGATCTGTACGATCAGAAACACATGGTTAAGTCTTAAAGAAACACATATAGAAGCAGAAAAAGTAGAAATTGGTACAAACAATTTTATAAAAAGAAAGCTCTGGATGAGAAACAATATTTTGAAAGCAGGCATATTTAAACTTTAACAGGGCAATTTACAAACCCATTCAGGTAGATAATGAACAATCCCTGAACGAGAGGTGCAAATAGAACATGAAAACAGGAAACTAAAGAATAAAAAAGTTGCAGGTCTCTGTAAGCCCAAAATGGAAGTAGACTCTAAAAAGAAAAAACAAATTTGGAAAAGACTAACTCCTAGAATTATCTGCAGTCAACAGACCAATTCTGGTGCAGATAATTCTGTAGCAGAAGACTCTGTAGTAGCAGAACACTTTAAATACCTAAGCCAAATTGCAGTTAATAAATTAACGTACTTATTAAATGACGTATAGATATGATAGAGAAAAACTCACACAGAACTGGCATACTTGCACATACACAGCTTTTCCAAAAGAAAAAAGGCAAGAAATTGTGAGGCCACAAAACCATAATCTTGATGAGTCATGCCACAAAAATCTAATAATTTTACTGCAGATCATGCAGAATGTTACCACTAAAGAAATCATTACAATAAAACAACTCCAGTGGTATGCTCACCTGAAAAAAGATGACAGAAGTTAGATGGCCACAAAAATGTGGGAGAAAAAACTGTGTCTTATATTAAAATAATTCCCTGTAGTAAATGTAAAGAATCTAGGAATGATAACATAAGAAGGAGAAAAAGATTCATTAAATCCAAGTTTAATAGGACTTTTCTTGAAAGAAAAAAGACATAAGAATGTAAAATAAAAAAGAAAAAGACCTATTGACCCCATC